AGATGCTGAGGTCTGAGTCAGGCCTTTTGGAGGACACAGAGGATTTGGATAGGCAGGAGGAGAGCGTTCCTGGCGGTGGGGGGGGTCAGCCTAAGTAAAGACAAGCGGGTAGCACAAGCGAGCATGGTGTGCCCTGGAAGTGTGTATCTACCCAGCTTGGTGGGATCAACAGGTGTGTGGAGGGACACTGTGGGAGTGGACTCCAAGTCAGCTTGGGGAGAGGTGGGAAGCTTGTGGCTGGGCCTGCCCCTTACTGCTCAGCTCCGCCTGCCCCTACCAGAGCGGAGTAACTGAATTAAGCACCAGCCCTTAAACAAGATGCAGCTGTTCAGCAGATGTTGCCTTCCACCCCAGATGGAGGTGCATTTTGGCGACAGGCACAGCATTTCCAGGGCATCTAATTTGTAAGGCTGCAGGAGAGTAAAGAAATTTAAGATGCTGCTATTATTATTTAATGACCATCATTCTTTATACACCCGCCTCCCTCCAGCACCACCACCACATGTCTAACATTCCTGGTGGTTTCTGACTGGAGATAGAGAGGCTGCCGGGGCATTGGACTTGCTGGTTCTCATTCAGAAAACAAGACAAGAAAAGATAAAAAGTCACCAAACCATAGAGCCCCCAGGAATGTTCAGTATAGTGGAAAGTGACTTATTCCCGTTATTCATGAAAGGGGCAGAAATAATAAATGTTCTCTATTGAGCCCCAACTCAGAGCCAGCTGCTGTGCTAGGCACTTCACATGCCTTGTCTCTGATTCTCATTCCCCCAACAGCCCGGTCCTACCTCAGGGCCTTTGCTCTTGCATCTTCCTCTGGCTGGAAGTGCTCTTCTCCAGATGCCCACAGGGCTAATTCCCCCATCTCTCACCTTCTAACGCAGTCCTTCCCTGACCACCCCACCTGAAAAAGCCCCTTCTCCATCATTCTCTACCCTCTTGCTTTGCTTTGGTTTCCTCCATCACCCACCATGTGTACATGTATTTGGTGTCTGTTTCTCTCCTCCCAAGGGCAAGGATTTTGTCTGCTTTCTCATTGTGGCCTCGCCAGCATGCAAAAGAATGCTTGATTCAGGATAGAACTCTATAAATGTTTGTTCAACGGGTGAATGAATCATCAGTGGATCTTACTGAACAGACGAGAAGACTGTCAGGAAGGTAAAATCACCTTCCCAAGCCATAGGCAGTGGTGAGGGGTGAGCTGGGGTTTGCATCTGGGTCTGCTCTTCTGAAGCGCTGCCTCTTTCATTTCCTTAAGTCCTTCTCCATAGCACTTACCACTGTGTATCGTACTCTTACTTACCGGTCCCTGTTTGGTGTCTGTCTTCCCCACTGAACTGGCAGCTCCACAGAGAGCAGAGTTCATCTGTTTTGCTCGCAGCTGACCCTCCAGGACCCAAACAGTGCCCGGTACCCCAGAATCACTTCATAAATATATGCTGAGGGAAGGAAGGAAGGAAGGAAGGAAGGAAGGAAGGAAGGAAGGAAGGAAGGTAGGTAGGTAGGTAGGTAGGTAGGAGGGGAGTAAGGGGGGAAGGGAGAAAGGGAGGGAGGGCTGGAAGATAGAAAGTGGGGCTCTTTCCACCCTGCTGTGCATTTCACTGGGTGGGACGGTGGGAGCTTGAAGATGTGGTCCAGTTCCCTGACTCCTCCCACACACATACGTCTTTAATCTTGGAAGCCACTCTGCAAGGTGAGTTTCATCTATGCCATTTTACAGATAGGGCATTGAGGTTCAATCAGAGAAACAATTTGCCTTGCCCAAGGTCATCTGGCTAGTGAGTGGAGAGATGGGATTTGAAGCCAGGCCTCCAGAGCTCCTGTGCCATGTAAAAGGGACCCGCATTTAACACTTGTTGGCTCAGCCCACCCTAAGGCAGCTGCCTAGCCAGAAGCTCCATTCACAACCTACCTGGGCCTGTGTTTCTCCCTCAAAGTCAGTTGTGTCAGGGCCAATGTGAAATGCCCTTAATTCACAGTTCCCAGGTTTTGTCCATTTGAGTAAAAACTTTGATGTTATTTCAACCCAAATCCCCCGTTGACTTCAATGGAAGTTTTGAATCCATGAGGAAGGTCAGACAGGCTGCGGCGTTTTTGGAGGTAACACAGGCACCCAGTGGAAATCACATTAGCATACTCATTATCATCAGGGGCCTTTGAATATGTTCTCTAGCTGTTCCCTTAAAGTGACTCAGTGACAGCGGATCCTTTCTGTTCACGAATTCCTGGGCCCAAAGTGGAGCTGTTGCTGACTCCTGTATGCTTCTCTGCGCTTCTCAGATGGCAACAGTGAACCTATGCTGCATGAGGCAATGGAAAGAGCTTCATCATCCAGGTACCTGGACGTGAATCAAGTACATTGTCTGTGTTTGGGAGAAATATCTCTTCAAGTCACTAGGCAGTTAGAGTGGGCCCCCAGGGATGGGCTCAGGTACCAAAAGGTGCCACTAAACTGCCTTCCAAGGAGGCTGGGCCCTGTTAATAGGAGGCCCCTGGGTGCAGTAAAGAATCAGGAATTGGTCTTGATGGACAAGATGGTTTCTCAACTCTGGAAAGTGCCAGAATAGCCTGGGGAGAATTCACTACACTCAGTGCCCACAACCCCACACCAGACCATTTGGCTCCAAATCTTGGGGAGTTGGGGAATGACTGGGTATCAAAGATTTTTAAGTGTCTCCAGATGACTCCAGCATGCCAACAGGTGGTTGGCAAGTGGAGCCAACTGGTCTCTTATCAAACCAGAGGAGAGGGGAGAAGAGAAGTCGTGGTTGGGTGATGGGGAGGGAGGGGCAACAGGAAGTCCTCTGGGGATGTGTCAGGGAGAAGGAGCTTCAGAGAAAACACTCTTTTTTAAAAAGAAAATTTCAAACTTCAAAAAAGTAGAGAGAATACTATTATGACCCCATGACCTGTTACCAGCCTCATCAGCTACCAACACTGAGTCCTTCCTGTTGGGGGGAGTTTAAGTCCTGGGCCACAGGGAAGTGGTACACTCCAGCTTCCCTGGGAACCTCCTGCAGGGCCCACACTTCTCACCAGCGGCTCCTCCTCCACTTGAATCTGGGCTGGCCTGTGACTTCTTGGCCCAACAGAGTAAAGTGGAAATGAAGCTCTGCCAGTTCTGGGCCTTGCCCTTAAGAGGACTGGCAGCTTCTGCCATGGCCTCTTGGATCCATGAGCTGTCATGGTGAAGGTCAAACCACTCCGCTGGAAAGACCACCTGGAGAGGCCCCAAACTACACGGAAAGGGAGAAGGACCCAGCTGAGCTCAGCATTACAGTCATCTGATCCTCCAGATAAGTGCACCCATCAGCTCTACATAACCACATGACTAGTTGATGGCCACAAACCAGAAGGACCACCCAGCTGAGCCCTGCCCAAATTTATGACCCACAAAACTGTAGAATATAATAAAATGGTTGTTTGGAGCTGTTTGCTGTATAGCAATGAACAACCAGAACAGATCATGGCGTAGAAGCTATTTGCTTAGCAAGGTGCAACAATGATTCCAGCCCTGGTCTGGTCACCTCCAGATTTCTTATTATGCAAGAAAAATAAACCCTATTTGTTTATGTCCTGATAATATCTTGGGTTATTGCTCAAGGCCTCAGTTTCTCCACAATTGTTAAATGGAGCATTCATTCCTGCCCTATTACTTTTCAAAGTGCCTGGACCAGTAGAGTAAGAATCAAGAGGAAAAGGCCTTTTTCGTGTAAAATGAACTGTGCTGTGTCCAAAAAGACCAACAAATGACATGCTTAAACTGTTATAATGTACTTAATGTGCTCATGATGGGTATGAACTTGTCACTAACTAATGGCAATGGATTTTGGAGTCTAGATATGTTAGGCCTGGAGGCTTAGCTCTCCTACTTTCTAATGTGACAAATTGAGCCAGTCACTAAATCTCTCCAAGTCTTAGTTTCCTCATCAATAAAACACAGATGATGTTATTTCCTTGTAGAATCTTATGAGGATTAAATTAAATTAGATTAATCCATCTATTTGATAAACATTGAGTATCTCCTATATGCTAGGCCAGACCCACTCCTGATATTAGTGGGGCCTAGGGCCCCCTCACCCTGAAAATCTAAATATTTAAGCATTATATATCAAGCTAACACAATGCTTTTTAAAATGTGCTATCCTTCTCCTCCATGGATATAACTTCATAAAAACCTGGAAGGCCAAGTTCAGGATACCTCAGCCTCCTCAGATACCTGCACTAGAATGTTTAGGAGTGGAAGCAGGCCAGCTGGCCCTATTGCCCAGCCCCCAGCCTGCACCCTTCCCCTCTCATCCCCAGCTCCACGCTGTACTATGCATGCCCTGCTTGCCCTACATGCATGTGTGTAGGCACTCCAGGCTCCCTTCACCCCCATGCTCTACGCTGCCCTTTGGCTATGCACTGGGCCTAGTGTTCTGCCTCCACAGAACAAACCAGGAGGCCTGAGTGGCCCTGGAAGCAGGCTTGGGACCTTTGGAACTCAGGGATCCTGGGAACTGGTAGCATGTCTAGAAAGGGGGCAAGGGTTTGGGTGGGTATGTCCCCTTGGCCCTGAGGAGCCAAGACACCATGCCTGAACATTCCTCTGTCTGGGCCCCAGACTCATCCCTATCTGACCTGACAGCCCCCAATTTGTGTTGGAGACTATGGACTGGGGACTTAGTGAATGTCAACATGAATCTCCTAGAGATCAGAAGATGAGACGGGAAAGGGGCGTGTTTAAGACCTGAGTGACCAGCTGCCTCCTCCAACCCAAGTCTGACAGAGCAGGAAGAGCCTCTGCCATCTAGTCCAACCTGTTCATTTGCACCACACCTTCAGCAGCCCTACCAACAGTGTGACTTCCCATCACACCTGGTATTAAATCCCAGTTCCTTGCTAAGACCTGCAAAGCCCTCGCCACCTGGCCTCTGGCCGTGTGCAATCTCCTTGCCCACTTTTGCCATTGCTCACTGAGCTCCAGGCCCCTTGACTTTCTTTGTGTTTATGAAATACCCAAGTCCATCCCTCCCACTGCAAGGCCTATGCTCTTGCTGTTTCCTCTGCCTGGAGCACTAGATCTTTGCATAGCTGGATTCTCGCATCATCAGACGGCCTGAGACGGCTCCGGCACAGACAGACATTTGCTGACACCCTTTTGGGAATAGCTCTCCTTTAGCCTCTGAGCTCTTTTTATAATGTTACCATTTTTTGTCCTTCTTTGCACAGCCGGAGTGGTAGAATGGAGGGATTAAGAAGCCACAACTTGGAGCCCAGTGGTCTGAGTCCAAATCTGGTCTCCACCAACTACTGGGCACTTGAGGAAATTATTCCACCAACTTCCGATGAACATATTATTCAACTTCTCATTTCCCTTGAATACATGATTCAACCTCCATTTTCCCATCTGTGAATGGGGGTGATATTCCATCTCACAGTGGAATATCACCCCCTGTTGTGAGATTAGATGAGCTAACACACATATTACAGCATTCAGAACAGGGCCTGGCACAAGCAGTACATTTGTGCTTGCTATTAGATTAACGCTTGCTGTTTATTCGAAATTATCTTGTCTGTCTGTGCTTTAGTTTATTGTCTTCTCTCTCTGAAACGCAAACTCCCCCCAGCAGCCTCCTGCTCCCCGCCGCCTCCCACAGTGCCTGGATAAACGGTTTCCAGCAAGGAGCTGGTTCTGGGCTGAGCCCTTAAGCACACCATCTCTATGTGCAGCTGGGGAAACTAAGGCAGGGATGCTGAAGGCCCTGGGGCCAAGGCCTGCCGCGCCTCAGGTGGGGACAGGCGCGCTCCGAGCGCGGGTTTCCGTGGCGCCGGCGTTTTTGTTCTCGACATGTTTATCTGTCAAAGCCCGAAAGAGACGGCCACGGCAAAGCGGCGCATATCCCGCGTCAGCTGTCGGCCCATCCTCTCGGTACCCGGTGCGCGAACAAAGGCATTTGCATGAAAACAGGTCCTCCATTTGCTGAACACACCGCTTCGCGGGGGTACAGCGTGCGTTCCAGCGCTCCGGAGCTGAGCGCCCTCCTTGGGGAGCGGCGGGCCCCGCGGGCCAGAGGGGGCGCTGCGCACAGAGCTGTACTCGCGGAGCCCTCCCGGGGCCGGCGGAAACGGCCGTTCGCGCGGAGCGCGTCTGCCGACTCATCCAGACTATTTACGGAGGTCGGGCAGCCGCCGAGCGGATGGAGCCCGGCCGTGGCGGCGCCGGGTCCTGGGTCGCAGCCCGCTCCGGGCCGCGGCGTCCCCGCCAGTTCCACGAGGGCGCGAGAATGTCCCAAGGCCTATGTCCCGCGGGAGGGGCGCGGGCCTGGCACGCAGAAGGGGCCCCGTGAATACTGGCTCTTTGCCCCCTCCCAACGCTTTTTCTCTGCCACCTCTCTTGGAATCCCTCTCAGCAGCCCTTGGAGGCAGGATAAGCTAAGCGGTAAGGGCATGGAATCAGGAGCACTTGCCCGCTGCTGAGACAGGAGCAAGTTACTCTGCTTCTCGAGGCTTCGGCTTACTCATCTGAAAAAATCGGGATAAAACAGTCCATAAGGTGTTTAGTTTAGTTAAAAGCACAAATCAATTGCTTAATTCATTCTTACAGTCACCACTTGCAGTTTACAGATGTGAAAAAGGTTCACGGTAGGAAGGGGCTTTTTCAAGGACTCACAGGGGACTCAATGGCAAACTCTCCAGGTCTCCTGAGTATAAGGATTTAATGGTTTTCAGCAGCCTCAAGGGCAAGTTCCTCAAATGATTTCATAGAGCCAGTAGCGGGGAGGGGCAAGGAGGCCTGGGTCATCTCTCTATCCCCAAGCTTCTCCCCCATGCCTTTCCTCCCACCCCGGCCCTACCCCAAACCTCCAAAAATGCGCAGGCTTCCCCTGAGGCTGGAGGGGTCATGGCTAGCTGGCTGATCCAGTGCCTGGAATAGGGTTCTGGGATGAGGTTTTCTCCCAAATCGAAACCATGTATTTATTTGTTTATTTATTTATTTTTGATACGGAAAACCCCGAACCCTTTCTGTCAGAGCCAGCCTGCTCTTCCGGACCGACCGCCTTCCCTCCGCAGTTCCTTACCCGGAATGAAGCCTCTCGCTGCCCTCCAGTGGCAGGCGAGGTTGTGTCGGTCTGGAGAAGCTGTCAAACGAGGGGAACCAGGGAGACGAGCTGCACTCAGCACGTGGTGGAGGCTGCCTGCAAGAGGCAGAAAATACAGTTTGGTCCCACCACCGCTATTTGTAGTCTGGTGGATCTGGGGAATCTTGGGAATAGAGAATAATAGACTGCATTTAATGGCACAGGAGTTTTTTCATTCTCCTTTTATTTATTTTTGAATAGATAACACATGTGCATGATTCAAAAGAGGAAAAAGACGGAAGAATGAAAAGGAAGTCTTCCTTCCACTCTTGGTCCCCAGACACCCAGTTCCCCTTCCCAAAGGCAGCCTTTGTTGTACGTTTCTTGTGTATCCTCCAGCAGGACGTCTTCACAAGTACAAATATTTTACAGGAAGGGTAGCTTCGCCTGTAGGCTCTTCTGCATCTTGCTGCTTTACTTAAAACTGCATTTGGGGATTTGTTGCATATTGATTCATATAGAGCTGCCTTCTTCTTTTGAACAGCTGCATAATATTCCATTGTACAGCTCTTATAATTATTTGATCAGCCTTCTACTGATGAGCCTTTAGGTGGCTCCTAACCTTTATAATCATAATATTAAAACAAATAATCTTGTACATGCACTGTTATGCCTAGGTACAGTGAACCACTTTGGCTGTAGACCAAACAAAAAGCTTTAAGCAAAAAGCTTTTGGTATTGCTCATACAGATCACTGGTGGCTCTACTGAGCTGGGCCAGGCTGGGCTAATTTTGCCTTGGCTCCTGTGTTTAGATCAGAGGGCAGGTCTGCTGGGGGCTGGCTTGCTAGGAAGATGGGGTCAGTCACATATCTGCCAGTTGCTGGCTATTGGCTAGGGTAAGAAGGGTGCCCTGAACTATGTCTATCAGCATCTTGCAGCATGTAAGTCCTCTTGAAACTCCATGACTGGCATCACATTCCATCACTCTTTACTGTCCCAAGCAAATCACAAGGTGGGGAATGGAATTCCAGATTCAAGAGGTGGGGAAATGGCAACCACTTCTCCAAAGGAGGAGCGGCAGAATCACATTGTAATGGGTCTGACGCAAGAGCCGTGAACTGTTGTCATAATTAAAAATGTATTTAAGTAAGTTTTTATTTTACAATAGATTTACAGAAAAGTTACAAAGAGTACAGAGAGTTCCTATATACCCCTGCACCCAGTTTCCCCTTGGTTAATATCTTACATTACTGTGGTCCTATTTGTCATAAATAAAGAACTAGTACATTGCTATTAGCTAAACTCCATACTTCATTCAGATTTGATTAGTTTCTCCTTAATGTCTGTTTTCTGTGCCAGGATCCCATTCAGGATACTGTATCACATTTAATCATCGTAACTCCTTAAGCTCTTCTTGGCTGTGACAATTTCTCAGACTTTCCTTGATTTCGATGATTTTGACACTTTTGAGGTGTGCTGGTCAGTTTCTGTAGAATGTCCCTCAATTTGGATTTGTCTGATTTTTTTCTCTTTCATGATTAGACTGGAGTTACGGGTTTTGATAGAGTGTCATTCTCAACATGTCATATCAAAAGAACATGTTATCCACATCACTTATCATTAATGATGTCAGCCTGAATCACTCAGCTAAGGTAGTGTTTGCCAGGTTTCTCCACTGCAATCTTGTTCTTACCCCCACTTTCCACATTGTTCTCTGGGAAAGGAAGTCACTGGGCATAGCCACACTTAATAGATAGAGAGGCATCTCCACCTCCTTGAGGAGCAGCAGCTTACATTAGTTACTTGGAATTCTATGATTTGCTCATTCAGTCATTTAGTATGTCATTGTGGACTTGTTATTTTATATCTTGCATTATCATCTAATTATTGGTTATGTATTTTTTATTCAAATTGTCCCAGTTTTTGCTATTGGGATAAATGTGGCTCCTGTGTCCCTTTAACATACCTTAGTTGCTTTCTTTTGTTTTCTTCTCAGCACTGCCACGGTGCTTTATCTAGTCAGCTATCTCCCTCTCTCCAAATCTCTGGCAGCCACTGATCTCTTTTTCTTTCTATAGTTTTATCTTTTTCTTAACTATAAAAGTGGGCTCAAACAGTATGTAACTTTTTGAGGCTGGCTTCTTTCACTTAGCAATGTGCATTTAATATTCATCCAGAGTTATGTGGATTAACAGCGGGTTCTTTTGAATGTTGAATAGTATTCTGTAGTATGGATGTATCACTCTTTATCCATTCGCTTAATAAAAGACATCTTAGTTGCTTCCAGCTTTATTGGGAATATAAAGCTGCTGTACATATTTGTGTGCAGGCTTTTGTGTGGGCCTAATATTTCTAATCAGTTGGATAAACACCTAAGAGCACAATTGCTGGGTCATATGGTAAATCTATGATTAGCTTTATAAGAAACTGCCAAACTATCTTCTAAAGTAATTGTGCCATTTTTCATTCCCACCAGCAATGAATTAAGAGTTCCTGTTCCTCTGCATCTTCATCAGCATTTGGTATTGCCAGTTTGGGGAATTTTTCCATTTTAATAAGTGAGTAGTAGTTGTTTTAATTTGCATTTTATGTTAATTTGTGTTTCTGTTATAACAAATGATGCTGGGATCATTTCATATACTTATTTGCCACCTGCCACTCTTCTTTGGGGAAGTGTCTGTTCATATCTTTGGCCCATTTTCAAATTGGCTTGTTTTCTTAATGTTGAATATCCAGAATAAGTTCTGGATATGATCTTTTATCAGATATGAGATTTGCAAATATATACTCCCATTCTGTGGCCTGTCTTTTCATATTTTTAACACTGTCTTTTACAGAACAAAAGTTCAGTGAAGTCCAGCTTACCATTTTTTTTCTTTCATGGAGTGCATTTTTGGTGTTATATCTAAAAACTCATCACCAAACCCAAAGTCAGACAGATTTTCTCCTATACTTTCTTCTAGAGTTTTATTGTTTTGTGCTTTACATTTAAGTCTCTGATCTATTTTGAGTTCATTTAGTTACTTTTATGTAAGATGTAGTCTGTTGGGAACCTTTGCTTTTTTGGATGGACATCTAATTGTTCCATTACTTGCTGAATGACCCCATTTTCTCTATATAATTTAATCTTTTAAAATTGATTAAGACTTGTTTTGTGGCCTTACCAGGGTATCCTGGAGAATGTGTTTTCCATTAGAATCTGTAACATATTAGTTACAGTTATTTTCAATTCCCTGCTTGATATTGCCAACATCAGTTTTATATCTGAGCCTGCTCTAATGACTGTTTTGTCTCTTTGGTCTACATTTTTTTCTTCCCTTTTGACATGCATGGAAGGCTTAAAAATGGATCTTGAGATGGGAAGATTATCCTGGGTTATCCTTTTGTATCCTTATAAGAAGGAGGCAGAGGGATATTTGACACCGAGAATAGAAAATAATGTGACCGACCATGGAGAGAGCAGCTAGAGTAATTTGGCTACAAGACAAGAAGTGCCAGCAGCCACGGAAGCTGGAAGAGGTGGAAAGGATTCTCCCCTACAGCCTTCAGAGGGAGCAGGGCCCTGCTGACATCTGGTTTCAGCCCAGTGATACTGATTTTGGATTTCTGGTCTCCAGAACAGTAAGAGAATAAATTTCTCTTGTTTCAAGGCAGTAAACTTATGGTAACTTGTTACAGCAGCCTCAGGAAACTAATAAAGCATGCCTTATAAACTTTTGAAGTTGGACATATTGTGTGGGACAATAAATAGGTACAGAGATAGACCTTTGATGTGAGGATTGATGTTAATCTTGCTGGGACTTGAGTTCCTTTGTGTCCTTGTTTCCTCTTCCCTCTTTGGCTCTGAAACTTCTCTTTGTACTGTTCCTCAGAGGGAGTCTGTGTCTTCCGGCTCTTTCAGCTGTAACCCACTGTTGTTCTACTGGACCTTACTGGTGTGGTGGTAGAGTGAGGTGGAAGGAAGGCATTCTCCAATCTTCTAATTCAGTTTCAGGCTTTTAGTGGACTTGCAGCTCAGTTTAGGGGTGTGGCCTTTTGCAAGTGTTTCTGTTCCTCTCCCAGGGGTGGAGAGGCACTCTCCCCCACCTCGCTGCTTCAGTTCCCCTCCCTGACTACCTCACCCCAGTCTGTTTCCTCTGTTGTCTATGTCTGGCTTTTATATATATATATATACATTTTTTTCCCCCTTGGGTGAAACAGGAAGTCTGGAGAAGGCTGGAGTGGTGCAGAGTTCCCTTTGCATAAGCTGGCATAGAGTCTCTGAATTGTTCTCTGGCAAAGTCTGTCCACTAGAGCTTAGCGGGGAGGCTCTGGGGGGCTTCCCGCTGGCTACTCTGCTTCTCCCCACCAGAGTCACACCGGGAGCTCTGTCAGATCCCTCCCCAGGGGAACCTGCTCAGGGTCCTGGAGGAAAAGTCTGCCCAAGTATGAGGACTTCCCCATGCCCCATGCCTGGGGTGGGGACCCAGGAGCTTCTCAATCTTCTGCTAGTTCCCACACAGCCACCATCAGCCATTCATCAGAATTACTGCTTGAGTGTTCCCACCGACTTTAGGCCCTGCCACAAGTTAGCCAACCGTGGGTGCTGGATCTTTGCATACATCTGACTCCCCAGATTTTTGGGTAGCAGTTCACCTTGCAACCTCCGTTCTCTGATGGATTCAAGAAAAGTCATTTTTCAGCTTGTCTAACTTTTTCTTGTTGTTAGGACAGGAGTGATAGCTTTCAAGCTCTTTACATGTCAGAGCTGAAACCAGGAGTCCTTATTGTGGCCATTTTTCATATCAATCTACCACAGCAAGTAAGAAATATTAAGGGTCACAAAAACACAGGACTATAATCTTAAAATCATAAAGAAGTTGGCATATAGGCTTAGAGTTTTACAACTGGAGAATCTTAAATTCTAAGAATAAAAATTCCCAGATTAAAAATCTCCACGGGCTTTCCACTGCTTACAGGAAGACATGATGTAAAATGGTTGTCATTATCCAGGCCGTTCCACCTCTCCAGGCTCATTTCTCACCACACATCTCACCTCCCATCCAAATCCTGTCCCCAGTCCACTTCTACAAACTTGATATCACAGGCAAGGTTCCGGCCTTGTACTAAACTAATTGAAATTCCCTGATGCACTTTGAGCATTGCCTAGAACATGCCAAATCCTCACCAATCATTTGTTAAGCTAATTAATGAATAAAATTATAAAGCTCTTATCATGGCATGTAGTGCATAGAGGTATTAACAGTGGCCAGTCTCTATCATGCACCTGATTTAGGTCTGCCACTCTTCTGTGCGCTTCATTGTATTGATTTATTTTATTTTCATAAATGAAAATAAACCTTATCTGGCAGGTACTATTATTGTTTGCATTTTAAAGATGAGGAAACTGAGGCACAGAGATCAGCAACTTGCTCAAGGTTGCCCAGGTGGTAAGTGTCAGAACAGGGATTCAAACTCAGGGAAACCTCAGCAGTGGTTTTTTTTTAAGATTTTATTTTGGTATCATTAATCTACAATTACATGAAGGACATTATGTTTACTAGGCTCCCCCCTTCACCAAGTCCCCCCCCCACATACCCGTTCACAGTCACTGTCCATCAACATAGTAAGATGCTGTAAAATCACTACTTGTCTTCTCTGTGTTGCACAGCCCTCCCTGTGCTCCCCCCACACTACACATGTTAATCATAATGCCCCCTTTCTTTTTTCCTGCCCTTATCCCTCCCTTCCCACCCATCCTGCCCAGTCCCTTTCCCTTTGTTAACCGTTAGTCCATTCTTGGGTTCTGTGCTTCTGCTTCTGTTTCGTTCCTTCAGTTTTCCTTTGTTCTTATACTCCACATGAGTGAAATCATTTGGTACTTGTCTTTCTCTGCCTGGCTTATTTCACTGAGCATAATACCCTCTAGCTCCATCCATGTTGTTCAGAATGGTAGGATCTGTTTTTTTCTTATAGCTGAGTAATATTCCATTGTGTATATGTACCACATCTTCTTTATCCATTCATCTACTGATGGACACTTAGGTTGCTTCCATATCTTGGCTATTGTAAATAGTGCAGTGATAAACACAGGGGTGCATCTGTCTTTTTCAAACTGGAGTGCTGCATTCTTAGGGTAAATTCCTAGAAGTGGAATTCCTGGGTCAAATGGTATTTCTATTTTGAGCATTTTGAGGAACCTACATACTGCTTTCCACAATGATTGAACTAGTTTACATTCAGTGGGTTTTAGTCAGTATGAAGCTCCTATTATTTGCTGAGCACCATGCTAATGCTAGATGCATTATGTGTGTGATCTCTAATCTCATGATAACTCCCAATATAATACAAGAAGAAATGGAGGCCCAGAGAGGTTAGGCAACTTGCCCAGGGTCACACAGCTAGTAAAAGCCAGAGCTAAAGTGCAAACCAGGTCTGCCTGCTCTAAATCCCACACTCTTTCCTATTTTAAGCATGGCTTCTGGGCTCTCTCTTGAAGAAAGGAATGCCTTTGCCACTTGGCAAGTCATCAGACCCCTATTCTTCCTTCAAGACATAGACCAAGAATCCCTCCTGCTAGGACACTTTCCCTGGCCTCTCCTTCACACCACCCCAGCTGCTCCAGTCAGTCCCTTCTTCCTGAGCCTCCACAACCCCCACCCCTGCCTTCAGCTGGTCTTGGGCTCACATCATGGCTCTGCTGGGCATCTTTGACTAGTCCTTTGTGTGACCTTTGGAGCCTTAATTTTTTTCTCATCTGCAAAATGGTGCTAAGAAAAGTACCTCCTGCCTAGAGTTGGGTAAAATATGCTCAAATCTAAACCATGTGCTTACTGAAGCACTTACTATATATATTATAATTGTCAGTCTAAATGTCTCTCTCCATCACTTGACTCAAGGGCAGGAATTGATTCTGATCTCTCTCTTTGCCCCTAGCTCCCAGCATGACTCAGAAGAGATCATTAAATAAATGTGAAGTAAATGAATGAAAAAGAAAAATGAATCTTAGAATTCTGACCTCATAATTTCACACATACAATCTAAGAACCTTGCCTCACATAACTGCAAAGTTGGAAAGATCTTAGAGATCACCTTCCCAAGGCTGTCAGTCTGGTTGACTACTACACACAGTACACTTTATATTACACTTTATATTACTTTGGTAATACACTTTATACTGCCAGCCAGTTCACACACACACACACACACACACACTGAAATATGGTATGTAAGGATACTTACTGTGTGGGATAAACACAGATATTTCTTTTTTTCGTCTCTCCTCTTCTATCTTTCCATTTTAAAAAAATGCTTGTTTAGGCCCATTCAGTTGATTTCATGAAACATGATTGATTTGTGGCCTATGGTTTGAAAAACCCTTCTTTAGTCTACCTGCTCAGGTAGAATCTTTCTCCAGCATCCCTGACATGAGTCATATACTTGCACACCCCTGGTGAAAGGAAGTTCCCTCCCAGGAAGGTAAGAGGTTTCATTACTGGATAGCATTGTTAGAAGGTTGTTTCTCTGAAGCTGAAATGAGCCTCCCTGTAACTTCCCCGTGGGTTCCTGGCTAGCCTGCTGGTCTCTCTGGCTGCACGCTTATCAAGCAAGTCACTTCCTCTACTTGGGCTTCCCTTTCTTCCTCCTGTTCCTACACATGCGCCCCAGCTAAGTGCAGAGACCCTGAAAGTCCATCATCAAAACCATTCTTTGGACCTTGATCTTTACTTATCATCTCCTATTTCTTCTTTCCTCTCTCTCTCTCTTTTTTTTTGGCTTTCATGGGGTTGAGGGTCACTGGAGCCACTCCATCCATAGTGGCTGGAGTCTCCAGCTCCTGGAACAGGGAAGGTTGTTGGGACTGTGTGGGCTCTCAGAGTCTGGAGGGGTGGTGGGAAGTGACACTAGTGACCTCAGGGACCCAGATGTCACAGAGGGTCCAATAAGGGTCCTAGGTCCTGGCACGCAGCAACCCAAGGGAACTCCTACCATCATCCCCACCACAACCCTGCCATACCATGCCTGTTAGCCACTGTAGTTTGCCTGCCCTCACTACAGATGGCCAAGGGCCCATGGCAGCACAGGCCACGTGTTTAGCCAGGCCTGATGCAAGCTGAGAATGCCGGGCCCCTTGTTCAAAAATAATTAAGTGTTCCAAGACAGGGGAAGCAGAACAGTAGAGGAAGTAAGCATCTAAGTGTGAGCCCTGCACAACTGCAGAACTGCAGGTCTCAGACACCCAGGATGCCAGCCCTCACACTTTGCCCAGGAAGTAGGTTCAGTAGACATTGTATGCGTGAGGCCAGGGCTAGGCTGGGGCCCTGCAGTGCAGGAAATGAGCCAGGTCCGTGAATATTCAGGCCCATGATCCGGAAGGGTCCTTAGGATCACCTACCCAAAACCCCTCCATGTCTATGTCTGGTTGTAGAATCTGCTCTCAGCCCACTGATGGGTTGCAGAGTTCGCCCCAACCTCTTTACCATTTGCGCACAAGCTCAGTCCTGCTTCCCGTCATTCACATCTTCCCTGAGAGATCTTCCTATGCAGGAGCCGAGGCCCAGAGAGATGGCCCAAAGTCACCCTTTAGACAGGTGGCAGAGCCACATCACAGTCCCAGCCCCAGGACCCTCCCTCTCTTTCCTCTCCATTATTCTCCCCACCGCACACACCTCTCCATTGGTCTCCTGCGGTGCAGTGTCTTTAGAAACACTGCACATGCTGAAACTTGCAAATATCTATCTTCCCCTCCTAATAGGCTAACCCTCCCCCAGGCCCCAGACTCCAGTGTCCAGCTGTCTGTTCATAGCTGCAGTGGCTCTTGCTTCCTCTGTCCTCTGCTTCTTCCCTGACCCTCCTCCAACCCATGCCCTCAACAGCCACCAGAGCATGAGTTTTTAGTTTACAGATTGGATCTGGCCATGCCTGTGCTCTCAGCCCACTGATGAGTTACACAGAGTTCACCCCAACCTCTTTACCATTGCCTGCAAGCTCAGGCCCGGTGGTTTCTCCCAGGACCAGCTGCCCACCTCCCTCTGCTCCCACACAGTGACGGTGCTGTTGCTCAGGCAAACCCAGATCTCACCTACCTGCCATACTGCCCTCCCTCAGGAGCACTCTCCCCCAGACCTCCTGTGATTCCCGCCTCCCGTCATTCACATCTTTCCTGAGGGATCTTCCTATGCAACAGCCGAGCCCCAAATATGCCCCATCACTCTTTGCCTTCTTTATTTTCCTTCATACCAGTCAACACTCCCTGAAATTATAATGCATACTCGTTCATTTACTTCCAGCCTCCCGTCCAGAATGCAGCTTCCTTGAGAGGGAGTACCTATCTGGCTTACTGCTCAGGTGCTCAGTGCCTTGATTGGTATGCAACTGGTGCTATCTATAAACTGAAAATGAAACAGATTCGTGTAGCGACGTGTGTTCGGAGGCTGTTCTATGTCAGGCACTGACATGGAGCAAGGGAAAGAAAGGGTCCCTGCCCTCAAAGAGTGGGGTCACTGTGCTGGGGGGAGATGGATGTTCAGAGGAGCAGCAGGGTGACAGGAGCAGCGTGTCCAAGCTGAGTTTAAGCTCTGTCAAAGAAGATGGTGTGAGAGTGAAAAGACAGTGGGTTCTTGCAGCTTGGGTTAGGTTTCGGGACCATTGATGTGCCCTTTCTGAGGATCTAGGAGCTCTTTGTCTCTCTTGGGTCCCCTTACTATTCAGCCAGGGCTGAGGCCCATACTTAAGATGGGGGCTTCTGGGGCCACAGACCCCAAGGGAGGTTGTGTTTGTAGACTCGTGGAGAACCACTTCCCACTGGAGCTGGAATCAGGAAGAAGACTGGCGTGGCTCCATTCAGGGTAAACCCAGCCTTGCCCAGGGGTCACATGGCCCAGCAAGGGTGAGCCTTGTGGGTACCCTGGCACTTCTCAGACCGCTATTCAGAGGGTTCTCATCTCTCCACTTGTTGAGCCTTCCAGCCTCACAAGGCAGGCTGCCCATGGCTACCCACCCCCTGCATCCTCTGGTGTCACCAGTCTCCTCCTTTTGTGAAAATGATGTGACTGAAGTGGAAGGGCAAATGCAGGTCCCTTGAAGGCAAAGTCCCTTCCTCCAGGAAGTCTTCTCTGCTTTCTCCCTGTGCATGTGTGTGTGCGCACGTGTGTGTGTATGTGTGTGTGTCGTAGGGGGTGCCCATCATGCAGCCCCTTCGTGCATGATCTGATCCCACCCCCAGAGTCTGGGCTGCCATCTCGTGCTTCTGGGGCCTTCTTGAATGGGGCTGCCGACAGGATGCTCTAAGCTTGGCCACCCTCCTTGGACCTCACCCCCATCCCCACACACCACATAGAGGAAGTTCAGGCTGCTCTCCTGTCAGCTGCTCCATCCCTTTTCAGTTCCTTTTTCTCCCACTCAGGGCAGCAGGTGCATTGTCTGCCTCAGAAGATACTTGGAGGACGAGAAGCCACCTCCTCTTCCTGCGGACACCCCTCTCTCTGGAAGTTATCTTCTTGGGGTGCCTCACTTGGCTGAAGTGGTGGTGAGGGCAGTGAGGGGATGGAGGCCATAGCAATCTCCCCAAGGCTGGCAACTCCCCCTGGCAGCTGAGTGTACGGTGCACAGGAGATGGGAAGGCTGGGGACACAGCCAGACTTCACTGCTTTTTATCAGCCCTGAGAACAAATCTGGCCCCAAAGGTCAGTCCCTAAGATTGAGGACCTACTCTGTGCCCAGCATGGTGCTGAATACAGCAATCATCATGGCCAAGTTTCTCAGGGGAAACAGATGAAAAACAAACAAGTAAATGTGTCAAGGCTAGTAGCCATTGGGAAGCCAATAGAATCGAGTAAGGGGATAGAGAGAGACTGGGGGAGATGCCAGGGTAGTGTGTTTAACATTCATCTTCACCCCACTTGGAGCCCAGTGGACGATTCTGGGCAATAGAAGAAGCGCCGGCCAGCACCGTGCCAGCCTGGGGAACTCGGGGGCAGGGGCTGGGTGTCCAAGCCTCTGCTCTCTGTTTTATTTGGCTGTCTATGTCCAGTCTCACTTCTGCAGCCCTTCCCCGGGCCACGTGCCATCCAATCCGTAGTCTCCGAGGCCGCCCCTGGGCCTGGGCTGCTCAGCGAGCAGGGGGCTCGCCTCACCAGAAGAGCTCTCTGGCTCACAGCTGGGTGGAGCCCAGCCCCTTCCCACTCTGGCCTTTTGGGGCATCAGAGATAGTCAGCACCCAGGCCAAAGGCAGCAGGTGCCTGTGTGGCTGGAGACCTCAGGCCTGAGGGTTTGGGGTTTGGAAGGAGGCCTGAGCCACGGGGACAACTTCCCTTGCTGTGGCGCAAACCACTGCCCCAGGCCTGGGGTAGGGGGTGGGGGTAGCCAGGAGGCACTGACCCGCCCCAGACTGTCAGGAGACCAGGCATCGGCCCCCAGGCTCGTGCAGAGTCCCATCCAGGGTTGGTGACCAACACAGAGCAGGGACACTGTCAGCCTCTTTGTCATGACTGCCACAGCTGTGCAGGCCCTGGGCTCCCTCCTGCCCGCCCTTCTGCTGGGACTTGCAGGTGGGTGCTGGGTGCTGCCCACAGAGGCCTTCAGAGCAGGAAGGAAGGCCCTCACGGCCGTCCAAACCCAGCCACCTTGGGGCACAGGACTGACTGGAGCCCTGAAGACCTAGTTGAGCCCTTTGCCTGCCTGCCAGGGTGCTATTTGGGGTCTTTCCTCAATGTGGGTCTTGGGGAAACAGAGGTGACGAGAGCTGGAGGGTCAGAAAGACAACGTGACAGGAGGCTGAGGGACCAGGAGGAGGTTGGTGGGGAGGGAGAGGAGCCTGCCTTCCACCCAGTTTCCCTGATGTCAGCTCCAGGCTGGGTGGCTACCAGATGGAGGTCAGAGAGGGCACAAGGAGGGGAGAGTGGAGGGACAGAGGACCCCCTGAGTGACACAGCCCCTGGCATTGCTGGAGGAGTGCTGGCCCCACTGCCAGACAGACCTGCTTAACATCCCCCCTTAGCCGCTGACAGACCGTGTGATCTTGTGTAAGTCACTCAGCTTCTCTGAGTCTCTGATTCTTCTTCTGGAAAGTGGGGACGATGATACCATGTCATAATACAGTTGGGATGTGGATGAAAATGAGTACACACACCTAAACGTGTGTAAGAACCACAGGTGCTGTATGTGGGTGGGGTGGTGATTGTCTGCTCAGAGAGCATGATGCAGAAGGTGCCAGAGCTGTGTCCTGAGAGGACATGCTCCATGGCCTCCTCAGCTGCCCTCCATCACCCATCACCCTGTGATGCCAATGCTGGCTTATCTGTCCTCTCCACGCACCCTCATGCCTGATCAGATGCTACCTCCAGGGCAGGGGTCCCCTCTGACACAGCTCTGTGTCCCCTGCACCCAACTCACACACTGGCTCAGAAAAGGTCCCTGTTGTCAGATCCCTGCAGACTGTCCTGAGTGGGAGGGAGTAGCCTAGCCCTGCAGATGTCCCAGGATGACTCCAGGAAACAGATCCTAGGCTAGAAGCAGAAGTGCTTTGTCTCAGTCCCAGCTTTCTGAGGACAGGTGAAGCTGACTTGATGGAGAGAGCGCCCCATCATTGGAGGTGAGCAAGCAGAGGATGGATGCCCAGTGGGGTGTTGATGGGAAGGGCCCCATGAGGAGGGTCCACCATCCCTGCCTGCAGCGTTTCTTGAGTTCACACTTCTGTCCAAAATGGAAATGTCTCACCACACCTCTCTCCTCCCAACGTGCTCCAGTTTTCTCCATCTCAAAAACTAGGTCCACAATCTATCCAGGTGCTCAGGAGAAACCCCTGGAAATTATTTATCCATAATTCATTCTCCTCACCCCCATCAGTCCATCACCAAGACCTGGACTGGTTTGGCTTGTTTTCTACATGTATCTCAGTCTCTCTGTTTCTCACCACCTGATCATGGCTCCATGACCTCATGTCTGAAGGTCTGCGCCACCTCCTCACTGGTCTCCCTGCTACCATCCTACCACCCTCCGTTCCATTCTCCACACAGCAACCCCACTGTCTTCTAAAGCGTGTTGACGAGACCACTTGCCTCTGTTTAAAACCTCCGATGGTGTCTCATCACACTTAGAATAGGATCAAGAGTGTCACCACGTCCCACAAGACTCTTCCCAGTCTGGACTTCTTTGCCCACATGCTGGAGTTCTACAGACCTCTCAGTTTCTCAAGTCTATCTAGGTATTCTCACCTGCTGTTCCCACTTTTCAGAATGTTCTTCCCCTGTCTCTCCCCATGACCCACTCCTATCCTTCCTCAGTTTCAGCTCAAAATGTCAGCTCCTCCAGGGATCCTTCTCTTACCACTTGCTAGAATAGGTCCTCCAGTAGTTTCTGTCTCGGCACCCTGCACTGATGGGCCCATCTTGAAGGACAACCCCTGGAAATTCAGTGCCTTTCAACTGCACCGCTGGCCCCTTCAGCTCCTGGAACTTCAGTGTCACCTGGATGAAGGACAGAGATGAGCATCCAGCCTCAGCTCAGCGCCTGGTGCCTGACAACAGAAGCAATTGCTCCAGCACCAGTAAGGTATGGGTGACACTGGCCCGCCAGGATGTCTCATCGGAGATTGCCTGTGAGGTCATACACAGGGCTCTGGCAGAGCCCTTGTGAAAGACCAGGAACCTCTCCCAGGTGCTCCAAGGCGAGGGGGCAGTAGGCTTGCATGAGGATGAGGACACTGATTTCCCCAGTGGTGTTGGCTTTCAGAGTCTTTTGCCCGAAGCCCCATTTCACAAGTGGGAAACTCATTGCCATGGCTGATCACAGAGTGCAGCCATTAACGGCACAAGTTCCACCTGGGTTTAGTCCTAGACGTACCGTTTTACAAGTTGTGTGTTGTTGGGTGACTTACTTACCTTCTTTGTGCCTCAGTTCCCTCTTAGAATGGGAATAATATTAAGACATACCTTATAGATTTCATGTGAGGATTAAATGGGATGTTCCTTATAAAGCACTTAGAACATTGCCTGCACACAGGAAGGTGCTTATGAATGTTTGATGTTTATTATTATTATTATCCAGCGCCAACTTTCCACTCCAAACTTGTTTGCTCTGTTAATATCATTGTTGTTATTTTTAAGTGTGTAATATTTATTATTCATTCAACAGATAATGAATATCTACCATGTGCCAGACACTGTTCTAGATGCTGAGGACACAACAGTGAATAAAATTAGGTCTCTGTCCTCATGGGTATTGTTTTTTAGTAATTCTTTAAATCTTATTTCATGATATGAAATATTTCAAACACACAAAAAATAATATATCAGACACCCAGGTACCTCTACCAATATTTAATGAATATTAACATTTAGCTATATTTGCCCTACATTGAAACAATTATTTTTTAAATAAAGGATGAGAGACTGAGAGATTCTGCAGCTGGTTCCTGGGAGAGAGAAATAAGGGACAGGTGGACAGGGGAAATTTCAGCAGATGTTTCTTTATGTTCCTCTATCCAGCTGTTCCCACCCTGAAGATTACCACTGAGCCCTCTGGGATTCATCTCGATGCGCATCGGAGAGAGAACCTCACTTTCCAGGTGAGCGATTTCTATCCCCCCCACCTGCATCTCACCTGGATGGAAAACAGGCCCAAGATCCAGACCGTGGAGGCCCCCCAGGTCACTAGAAACCCAGACAGGACCTGCTCTGTGGAGCACAGAGCAGAGGCAGGCAGAGGCCAAACTGGAGGGGAGTGAATTTGCCTGTTGGGTGGTCCAGGATCAGCAGCCCCAGGTCCAGACCAACATCACCTGCAGGCTCATGTCTGGGGAAAGGTGAGTGTGGTCTTTCGCCAGCCACTCTGGGCGGCAGGCTAGGAGGGTAAGGCACAAAAACACCTGCCATCTGCCTGGGGTGCAAACAGTAATGTCGCAGACTCAGGGCACCACTGCATGAAGGTGAGGGAAGCGAAGACACCCTGGGCTGGTAATAGAACTCTCACGAATTCCCCCTAAATCCCATCCCTCCCTCCCCAACACCCTCACCAAGAAGAAGGAGCCAGACATCCCCTTGCCAATTACATGCACTTCAGGTTGAAAGTTCGCCTCAGCACTTGACTGCGGAAACACCACAGATTCAAAACTGTTGGGAGCCAAAGTCCCTTCTAGAAAGGCTTTTAATCAAGACTGGTTCAGCTGGAAGTTTCTGGAAGTGAATTTTAAAGAGACCAGAATTCTTGATTTAGCTGGGAAGAGGGAATGTGAAGGTGCAAGATTCTCCTCTCTGCTGGGTTCGCGCTTTCTCCGCTCTTCCCCAACCTCCTTTTTCTCCCCCTTCCCCCTTTGCTCCCCTTCCTTAACCCTTTCTCTCCCCAACCTCTCTCACCTTTTCCGCCTCAGATAACTTTTTCCACTAGAGGGAGCTGTCCGCTAGCAATTCAGACCCACTGCAGCTCCCGGGTTTTCTTGGTCCCAGTTGAGTCAGCTTGAGAAAATGAATGAAGACCGGTTGGTAGGAAGGAGTGTTGTGATTGGCCTACGGGTGACAGCATCTGCGCCTGCGTGCCTGTGCCCCTGCCCGAAAAGGTGGACGCGGCACGGGCTGCTGAGCAGCACTGGTCCTCAGCTGGGCCTTTGACCCTGCCTTCTCTTTCTCCTTGACAGAATTGGCCTTCATCTGCCAGCCGTAGGAATCCTCGGGGGGAATGGTCCCATTTGCCTTTCAATTTCTCCGTGTCCTTCTTTTGTGGTCCAGCAGAACTAAGAAAAACATTCACTCCGGGGAATATACAGATCTGGGTGAAAAACTCCAAACTGGTCCTTTCTGATCGGAAGTAAGTCACATTATTTCTTTATTGACACTCTGAGTGTTTTCCTCCGTGTCTTATTTTTCTTCTTCGGCTGCATACGGTATATCTGGCCCACTGCTGTAAGGTTAATAACCCTGGGGACATCAGTGTAGTCCTACCACTCAGCTGCGGTCTGCAGCAGGGAAGGGCAGTCCCTTGTCTGGCCTTCAGACCCCCTTCTCTGTGCTGCTGACATAGCTCTGCAGCTGCAGGTCCTCCGAACTGCAGCACCCTGCCCCTTAGGCCCACGCGTCTCTGTGCCTCTGTCCACTTATGGCTGACTCTGTAGAGCACTTACTGTGCGCCCGACATCCTCGCTCACCTTATCTGACATATGCCAGTCGGTAAAAGCAGCAGGAGGACCAAGGTCTCATCTCCGCCCTTTTGTATTTTTTTCTCCCATGCTGCCTGAGAATACAAACCTTAGTGCTATCTCAAGTCTGTTCTCAAATCGCAATCTTAAATGTTCTATTTCTGATATTTATTCTCCTCTCTGTCCACATCGTTCAGTTCTCACTGTTGGCACTTAAACTTTGGGCTCTCCTACATGCCCCCAACCAGGAATTCACACATCTCCTCCACAATGAGACCCTCGCACCTTTGAAGTAGATGCTGTCTCTTGTGTTTGGAGGTGGCCAGCTGGAGTCAGATGGATCAGCGTCATGTTGCAGGGCTGTCACCAGCCATCTGTGACCTCAGGCCAAGCCCTGCCCTTCCAGAGCTCAGTTTCCTCATCTCCCCAATGACAACGGTCATGCCCACCTCTCTGGGGGCCTGCTGGGGATTCCTTTCCTTGACCCCTGCTTGGCATCAGAACAATGGGGCTTGCAGTGGGGGTTCTGCCATGACTCTGGTCTTCGTGGTGCCCAGCCCAGAGCTGGGTTGAAAGCAGGAAAATATTAAAGTTGACTGATTATTATGGGATTGTTATGTGGAGAAGGAGAAGCAGCTGTGATATAACAGAAAGAGCCCTTGAAGTGGAGTAACACCTCTTGGGTTGGAACATGGGTTCTATTTACTGTGAGGCCCTTGGGCAAGTCACTAACCCTCTCTGAGCCTTTTCTTTTTCTAATGTTGGAAATACGATTAATAACAATTTCTCAAACAGTTATTGTGAGCATTAAGATGATAGACCACTTATAAAGTGATCCCCACATGCCACATAATCTACACTAGTTACCTTACTTAGTTTATTAATTAACTCTGAAAAGTAAGAATCATCCCTGTTTTGCAGATGAGAAAACTGAGGCTTAGAGAGTTAAATTGCTCAGGCTTACCCAATAGAGGGGCTGGAAATGCAGACTTGGGCTGCACGTGACCCCAGAGCCTGTGCTCCTAACCTCTGCTCTGTGTCACCTGCTTTCATATGGCCTGGGCTGTGAGCAGTGAGGTGCGCTTCCCCTCCAGGGACTGGGTACAGAGCAGAGTGATGGTCCAGGGCACAGACCCTGAGGTCAGACTGCCTGGCTAGGAACCCCTGCTCTGCCATTGACTAGCTGTGGACCCTGGACACATTACCTAGCCTGTCTGGGCCTCAGTTTCCTTGTCCATGAAATGCAGGTGGTTCCCACCTTTTAGGGTTGGGGTAAGAACTTGGAGGGTTGGCAGAGCCCATAAGCAGATTGTGGAATGTGGGTGTTTCCTGTGAGTTGTGGGTGAGAGTCAGCCTCCCTCTATATTGTTGTGGATATTAATGTCTCAAATAAACATAACACACAGTCAGAAGGCACATTCGTGTGCGCTTATTTAATGTGTACAACTGCCCTATTCTGTTTGCCCTACTCACGGTTTACAGACGGCAACTATAAGCATTGAGAGAACTCTTGAATAATTCCAAGTAAATATCCAAAATTACCTTTTATTGATGGTGCTGTGAATGTGAAATTGGAAATGAAAGCTTTGTTGATACTATAATGTAAGTCTCTGGGGAAAAAAAAATATACCAACTTCCTTACACTCCCAGGGCTTACTCCTTCTAAGAGCTGTGCACAGTTGTGATTATATTCTATAATGAATTAAAATATAAATTAAATAAAATTAGTTTAATATGTAAAATGTTTTCCAAGATATAGTTTCAACCCTTTCCTTTTTGACAACTGCTGTGAAATCGGAGCCTGATTTTGAATAGGTTTCTTCTAAGTGGCTTTTTGTTGTTGTCTGATACCAAGCAGGTTTCCATCTTTACGTCATTTAGTTTTATGTGGGTTAAATGAGATAACTGTGCATGCTGCCTCAAACACTGCCTTTCAGCACATGGACACGGTTATCATCACTGCATCTGGTCTCTGTCCTCCTGACACTGCTCTGGACACCGTTCAGCCAGGACAACATACTGGTGGCTAGAATGAGCCATCGCAGCCTTTCCATCCTTTTATTGGTCCTTGCTGCCCTCTATAGCCTGTGACACTTGCTCGGGGGCACCTTACCCTGGCTTATTATCCCTGGGTGCCACCCCAGTTACCAGGACTTTGCTATCTTGAGACCCCCTTCTCAGGGTCCTGCTCTTGGCTTGGTACGAATCCTGCCTGTGTGCTGAAGGGGGAAGATGTGAGGACGGACAGTGACCTTCTGGGGATGGTGTCTTCCCTTGGCTGTCCCACCCAGAAGTGGCGTCACTGATAGAATTGTACAGGCCTGGGTGGTTGAGTATGGAGAAAGGATATTTTGGGATCAGATATCCTTTGCTCCTTCAAATTGTACTCCATAACGAGTTACTCTCTCAATCCTAGACCAAGGGCTGTACTCCGTCTTAACTAGACCCATGAGAGATGATCTGGCCTTAGACAATTTCATAAGTTAAGAGTCTTGGAAACTGACTTGCACAAGGTCTTGCATTTGGCTATGGTGTCAGTGCAGAGACTGGAATCTGGATCTTCCAGGGCTTGATTTAATGTTAGAATTTGTGGATCCCACTCATCCAACAGCGAATGCAATGGTGTCCTTTTTCCCTACACATATGTATAACAACAACAATATTATACACAGCAGTAATAGTAGTATGACTCCATTCGGGTACCCAGACCCAATTCCCATGTGTCTGCCAGGAGACACCACCAGATTCCCAGGTTAAGGGCTCCGTCCTACAAGACTGCCCTCCACCCCCGATGCCAGATGCTGGTTGCGAACACCAGGCAGTTCCCTGTGCTTCTGACCTACTGGGTATAGATTGGAGGTTCCCACACCTCCCCCTCAGGTTTGATTAATATGCTAGAGCAGCTCATAGAACCCAGGAACACTTATGTTTACCAGTTTAATAAAGGGTACAAGTTAACAGCCAGATGAAGAGAGACATAGGGCAAGGTCCCAAATAAAGGAGCTTCTGTCCTGGTGGAGCTTGGGCCCTGGCTCGGGGTCATGGGGAGGCGTCCTGGTTCCCCACACACAGAAGCAGGATCCAACCTAGCAGAGCAGGGAGGGCAGAGCAGAGAGAGAAAGGAGGCAAAAAGCTCTTCTCAGGGGGTTTGTGAGGGCTTCACTGCGTAGTCAAGACTGACTGAATTATTCACCATTGGCTGATTTAGCCTCCAGCCCCTGCCCTTGGTTGGGGTCCAAAAATATCTCATTACCATGACAAAACAGTTTCACCTTTAAGACTGCAGTGTTTTCAGGAACTGTGGATGAAGGCCACATATACTTTGGTCATATGAATGACCAAATATATATTTCTTTTTTTAATTAAGGTATTATTGATATGCACTCTTATGAAGGTTTCACATGAAAAAACAATGTGGTTACTACATTCACCCATATTATCATGTCCCCCCCGTACCCCATGCAGTCACTGTCCATCAGTGTAGTAAGATGCCACAGTCACTACTTGTCTTCTCTGTGCTACACTGTCTTCCCGCTGATCCCCCCACACCATGTGTGCCAATCATAATGCCCCTCAATTCCCTTCTCCCTCACTCCCCACTCTCCCTCCCATACCTCTCCCCTTTGGTAACCACTAGTCCCTTCTTGGAGTCTGTTGCTATTTTGTTCCTTCAGTTTTGCTTCATTGTTATACTCCACAAATGAGGGAAATCATTTGGTACTTGTCTTTCTCCACCTGGCTTATTTCACTGAGCATAATATATCCTCGAGCTCCATCCATGTTGTTGCAAATGGTAGGATTTGTTTCTTTCTTATGGCTGAATAGTATTCTATTGTGTATATGTACAACATCTTCTTTATTCATTCATCTACTGATGGACACTTAGGTTGCTTCCATTTCTTGGCTATTGTAAATAGTGCTGCGATAAACATAGGGGTGCATATGTCTTTTTGAATCTAAGAAATTATATTCTTTGGGTAAATTCCTAGAAGTAGAATTCCCGGGTCAAATGGTATTTCTATTTTTAGTTTTTTAAGGAACCTCCATACTGCTTTCCACAATGGTTGAACTAATTTACATTCCCATCAGCAGTGTAGGAGGGTTCCCCTTTCTCCACATCCTCACCAGCATTTGTTGTTCTTAGTCTTTTCATACTGGCCATCCTAACTGGTGTGAGGTGATATCTCATTGTGATTTTTATTTGCATTTCCCTGATAATTAGTGATGTGGAGCATCTTTTGATGTATCTGTTAGCCGTCTGAATTTCTTCTTTGGAGAGTTGTCTGTTCATATCCTCCACCCATTTTTTAATCGAGTTATTTGCTTTTTGGGTGTTGAGGTGCATGAGTTCTTTGTATATTTTGGAAGTTAACCCTTTGTTGGATATGTCATTTACAAATATATTCTCCCATACTGTAGGATGCCTTTTTGTTCTGCTGATGGTGTCCTTTGCTGTACAGAAGCATTTTAGTTTGATGTAGTCCCATGTGTTCATTTTTGCTTTTGTTTCCCTTGCTCGAGGAGATGCTTTCAGAAAAAAGTTGGTCATGTTTATATTCAGGAAATTTTTGCCTATGTTGTCTTCTAAGAGTTTTATGGTTTCATGACTTACATTCAGGTCTTTGATCCATTCTGAGTTTACTTTGTGTATGGGGATAGACAATAATCCAGT